TCTCTGTTCATGGGTGTCCCATGTTCATATATATGGGGTTGTTTGAAACAAGACCATCATGCCATCTGGCAACACATCCTGCTGGGCCGCCTGGTGCAGTGGTGGAGCATCACAGGACTTCTGCCCAAACATCCCGGTGAGTTGTTTTCTTTGGTCTGTTAAAATTATCTATTAAAATAGAAAAAAGAGAAAGAAAACAACTGATAATTTCACTATTGAATGTTAAAATCAAGGACAAAGTACACTGTAATTAACTATGTCCTCATGTTCATTTGTGTTTGCTTTGTGTCTTTTTCAGAAGCCCATGAGATGAAGAGGATATCTCAGATGTGGTGTGAGATGGACCAGAAACACAGGAGAACATGTCTGGAGTTGAGGTAATGACTACCTTTCCACTCTAACCTACAAAAACATGTATTATTATTAACATTTAATAGACATTTGAAATGTTAATAATCAATATTCTCTCATCAGCGGTTATGCTGAGGATAAGTGCCGGTGGAGCTCCCTTATTCAAGTTATGGTGGCTCATATGGATGAACAACATGGGCCTGTATGGGTTTCAGAAGAGTGTGCCTTTCAGACATACCCACCGCCATCTCTAGAAGCTTTGCTAAAGCTAGTGCTGCTGCCTAATATTGACATCCTGTCTGTCCAATCCATTGTATCCTGCTTATTTCTATTTTAACGTTTAGTTCTTATAGTATATTTATTTTAATATTTATTTACTTTTTTACACATATTTTATGTTGAAATATTATCTTATTCATTAATGTACATTTCTGTTCCAGAATAATATCCCAGTATGGTTAAATATATTTGTAAATATTTTCCATTTTTTGTTTTATTGAGCTGAATAACCATTAAATAGCCTTTTATAGCAATTTAAATACTTTGGATAGTATTTCATACTACTATGATATCCTATGATGAGTAATGGCTGATGAAAATTCAGCTTTCCCTTCACGGGTAAATATTACTTTAATCACTATTTTTGATTAAAGAAATGCAGCCTTGGTGAGCATAAGAGACTTCTTTCAAAGGCATGAAAAATCATACTGACCCCAAATATGTGACCCTGGACCACAAAACCAGTCATAAGGGTACATT